GAGTGGATCCTGGCCATGCCACTTCCCAGGGGAATGGGGACGTTCTCACCCAGGAAATCTGGGAGGAAATCGGTCCCGGGAGTATCATGAGCTGCAGTGAAAGGAGACAAAGATGTGGATGTGCCTTGTGAATGCAAATGCAGAGCACTAGGCCCCGCTGCGCCCTCCCTATGGACTGGCTGGTCCGGTGCCGAGTTTTCTGTGACAGCTGCGATCTTAGAGGAGAGAAGCCCGAGGTCTGAGTGGACGCACTTTCTCAGGCCTTGAAAGCTGGGCGAATGCCTGAGTGCTGCCCTCAGACTGGCTTCAGGGCTTTTCCTACTGACCCTGCAAGGATCAGTCCAGAGACCACAGGTCAGGGGTGCCCCCTCATGGCCTGGAGAAGGAAAAAGAACTTGTGCCAAAGGAGGGAACTCCTGCACCCACTGCCATGTCTGGAGCAGTGGTTCTCAACCTTCCCAATGCCGCGACCCTTTAATACAGTTCATGTTGTGGTGACCCCCAACCATAAAATTATTTTCGTTGCTACTTCATAACTGTAATTTTGCTACTGTTATGAATCGTCATGTAAATATCTGATATGCAGGATGTATTTTCAGGGGTCTCGACTCACAGGTTGAGAACCGCTGGAGAGGAAGGCTGACGCCATGAGAGTGGCGTTTCCGAAGACTCGGGTTTCCTTGGTCAACCCCAAATAGTCCATCCGATGAACTCATCAGTGTTTCCCAAACCAGTCACCCCCACCTCTGCCTTGTCTGCTAAGTGTCCGAGTGTTTACTTAATTTTCTCTAAATAGACTTGCCCTTTCTTCAGAGGGCCATACATTCCTTTAAAAAGGAAACTGAGACACTACAGTAAATGGAAAATTGTCCTTCCCTGCCGTAAATAGAAGGTTCTAGTCAAAGTACAAATAACCAAACTAGGATTCAAGTTCAATGTAGACCCCGTGGCCAGCTGGAGGCTCTGGGCCCCGGGCCTGGTGTGTTAAACAGTGAAATGACCACTTTTTAGGACTTGTCAGCATGAGGTCTGTCTCCCTGGCGCTCGGAACTGCCAGGGAAGAATCCGGTCACAAGGGGCTGGGGACGGAAGGGCCCGGGTCTCTCTCCCCTGGGACAGGCTCAGGCTGGGGTGGAGGCAGGAGTCTGGCCCTCAGGCTCTCCCTCTGGTCTCCGCAGTGCCCGGAAACGCCCCATCCCCTACTACCGGCCCAGCCCTTCCTCGTCCAGCGGCCTCAGCAGCACCTCCTCCTGGTACAGCGGCAGAAGGCAGCCGCTCCGCCAGCCGCAGCTACTCCCGCAGCCGAAGCCGCAGCCGGACCCGCACGAGCAGCAGCTCCAGTTCCCGCAGCCCCAGCCTGGGCTCCCGCAGCCGCAGCCGCAGCCGCAGCCGCAGCCGCAGCTCCAGCTCGGCAGACAGCGACTCCAGCACGAGGCGCTAAGCGAGGCCCTCTGGGAGCCAGCTGCCTGCGGGCAGGCCCTTGCCTCGGCCAGCCCCCCTCCCCGCCCACCCTGCCTTCTTGGTGACAGACATTGAGGGCTCCTGGACCCTGTCCTTCCTGAGCTCCTGGGAGGAGGCAAAGAGGGGTCGGCCTCTATGTCCAGCTGCGAGGAGCCTCCACCAGCGCCACCCCGGGTTCAACTCAAGCCTGGACCTATGGAGAGAGCACCCTGTTGGCACACACCCCTCAAGGCTTTGCAAGCAGCGGCGGGGCCATGACTCCAGCGTTTGGGCCTGGCCAGGGGAATGCAGAGATGGCTCCACTGACACCTGCTCCCAGGATGCAGGGCGACATCACCCTGCCCTCAAGCCGGCTCCTGGCTCAGGGTTACGGATCCCTCGTGAGGGTGGGCGTGGGGTGGGGGGCAAGAGAAGAGACCAAGGGCACTTCAGCTCCAGGAGAGGGTCAGGCCTTTCATCTCTAAACTGGCCAGAGCAAAGGCTAGAGGCTGTTGAGTCTCTAGAAGAAGGGCTATGTGCGAGCAGGGATCTGGTGTTCAGTTGGGAGGAAGGTCCTCTGCTCCAGGGATGCAGACACAGAGGAAGGGCCTGCGGGTTCTAGTGCCCCCGCAGGTCAGGAGGGGCCCGGCAGGTTCTAGCAGGAGAGGCCACCCTGGCTCACCCACAATGCCTCTGGGCTGTTCGCAGGGACCGGCAACCTTTCGGGAAAGGACACAGCAGATAGGCAGGAAGCAGGGCCACAGCCCCACCAGCTGGCACCAGCTTAATTCCACGGGACCATCTGCCGAACATTCCCCAGTGCCATGGTCAGCTCCCATCCCCCAGCGCCAGCCCGTCGGGCCTTGCCCTCCGGTTGGCGCCTGCCTGCCCCCTCCCCTCCCCCAGACTGCCTCACCCTGGATCCTGCCCAGTGCAGCTGAGTACCCACCTCGGCCTACGCCTCCCCCTTTGCCTCTCAGGAATTTTGCTAGGATGGGGCATAGCAGCTCAAGTTTGGGGGAAAGACCCAAATCCGGAGAGCCTGGGGGTCTGGGGTGCTCCGTGCCCAAGGCTGCCCGTGGCTTCTTAAGTTCCTTGTCAGTGGAGGAAGCCCCACCCCACTCTGCCCTCCGCCCCGTCCCCTGCCCAGGGCTGGGCAGTGGGTAAGCTGATCTCTAACACACAAACACCAGCAGCTGCTTCGTGCACAGAAGGCAGCGGACGGGGTGAGAGAGGATCCTGAAATAAACTCCGGGCAGCCCCTCACCAGCCGACCGGCTCTCCGGAGCCTGGTGGGCAGGTTCCCGTGTGTGGTGGCCACAGCAGTGGGACAGGACACGGGGAGAGCGAGGGACCGCTCTCTGCTGTGGGGAAGCAGGGACCAGCATCCTTTACCCCTCACACTGCAGGGAGAACATTTGGAAGAAAAACGTGTTTTTTCTGAAGCAACAACCCTCCCTCCCCAGTCTTTCCTGTCACCTCAGCCTGAGGGGCCAGAAGCTGCCCTGCGACCCCCCAAGCCCTGCACCCTTCGGGCAGCGCAAGGACCTGGCCTCCCAGGACACCTCTGGCCCAGGCCCGGCCCCCGCCCGCCAAGACCTACGGATGCCAATGCTGTCACCACAGAGGCCAGATGGCAGGTGCCGGGAGGGCATGTACAGCAACTGTAAATAACCCTCTTCCCCACCCGGAGCCCCGCTGGGCGCCACCCCCTTCACGGAGACTGAGGCTCCCGGAGCCACGGCGCCTCCTTAGGAAGAAGCGAGAGGCCCAGGGGACCGCCTGGCCTGGCCGCCAGCAGCCTTTTATTTATTTTACGTATTTATGTTTATTTATTTATTTATGTGATGCGATCTCGCTGCGCCACCATCGGCAGTATTCCCTATTTATTTATTTATATGGAGAGGCTGTGTGTGTATGTGTGGGGGGAGGAAGGGTTTTCTAAAGTATTTCTGTGCATCTCACTCCTTTCCCCTAGTGTCTCTCTGGATGGGATTTGAGAGGCGGAGGGGGGGGGGGGATGTTGGCTTCCGCCCTGAAAGTGAGACCCCTGAGCTCCGAGCCCCAAGGTTCATTCCTCAGCCCCCGCCCCTGCCCACCAAGTCAGTGGCTAAGAAGCTTCTGAGCTGAGGCGCTGGCTTGACAGTGAGTCACAGCTCATGTGGGGGCTGGAGTCTGACGTTGGCTGGAAGGGAACGCCGCAGTCGGAGTCGGGGCCCCTGAAAGTCCTTCAGGCACTGATGGGGGGCGGGTGGTGCCAGGCGTGGTGGCCGCCCAGCCCCCATCGTGCGGACTCGGGCGGCTGCCTGTGCTTGGGAGGCCCTGGAGGTTGGACGCCATGGGGTTCACTAGGAGTGGTAGCTGGGGTGGCCCTTGGAGCTGACGAGGCGCTCAGATCCTGGAAGAGGCCGGGAACGTGCACACCTCGCCTCACCCTGCCCCGGGCACCTGCTGGTGGCAGGATCACTGGGCGTCCCCGCAGCACCCGGCTGGCTTCCTGTGAGTGACCCCACTTCCGACAGGCGTGGCTCATTCCTCCCGTCCTGAGACCGCTCTGTCCTTTCTGCCGAGGTGCCAGTCATCCCGGCAGACACCCCCGCCCCAAGCGAAGGCCGCCTGTGACCTCTTGCTCTCTGTCAGGAGAGAGAACAAAGCTGTTTCTGAAACTGGAGAGGGAGTAAAATGAGCAGCTAGGGGTACCCCCCAAGGTCACCTCAGAACCCATCCTGGGGCCCGGGACCCAGAGGCCCTGCCAGCCTCCTCGGCCCAGCCAGCGGGGGTCTGTGGCTGGAGACGGCTCCCCTCCCAGTCACCGCGCTGGCCTGGGACGGTCGCTGGCCTGGCTCAGCGCTGGGTTTGGTGAGACTTTGCCACAGCCCTGGCGTTGCCCTGGCATTTCCCTGGCGTTTCCCTGGCAATGTGACTCACCTGCCTTCGCCCAGGCGTCCCAAGCGAGGGAGCCCCGGCCTGGGAACGCGGCAGGAGGCTGCGCAGTGCCCCTGGGGCGCCTCTCGCTGGGTGTGCTGCTCCTGTCCTCACACTCCCCGGCGTCCTGCTGCTCTGCTGCTTCCAGGGAATGAGGCGGATGCTGGAACCTCACAGGCAGAGCGGAAAGGGGAGGGAGACGAGGCTTGAGGCCCAACACCTGAAGCCCTGGCCCCTGCCGCGGGGTTCACTGAAGGAGGGCGCCTGGGCGCCCGCGCCCTTTCCGGGGCCAGTTCCCACGTGGAGAAGTGGGGGAGAGTCTGCGAGTCCATCTCCATGTTCACCGAGGCCTGGGCAGTTCTCAAAGGCAGAGCGAGTTCCCGAGACACAGAGAAAAAAGGGACGCAGCCTGGGACACAGGGAGGAGGTTCTGCATCCAAGCGGAGCCTGAGGCAGCGTGTGGGTGTCCTGGGCTGAGAGGGAAAAGCCCCTGGTCAGAGCCGCCCAGGCTCGGGGTCCACCCGGGGCGACTGCATCCTGTGCTGCTCCCCCGTCTCTGAAGGAAAGTTGGTCTTTCAGAAGCAACAGGAAATCAAGATGTTTGAACGACACAGGGCCCGAGAGCCCCATCCCTCATTCACTGGGGCCCGTCTTTCCCAGGGGTTTGCTTGAAGAGGCCAGAATTCAGGGTGCGGCCAAGAGTTCGAACGCATTTTCTCCTCAAGGGCCACTTTTGTCGCTGCTTCTGCCACATTCTCCCCCCGGATATCCAAAGTGGTCTCCTGGCACGTATCTTGCGTTTTTCTTCAGCTGAATATAAAATTTTGTCTCATAAATTTTTTTTTAAAAACCTACAGGTTTCCTTCACACCCGTCCCTCCTACATTGGCCACCTGAGTCTCCCGGGGGTGGGGGGATGCTAAGTGTTTCCAGCAAAGCTTCCTGAACCTCCCCTCCCTCTGCACCAGGGGGCCCAGGCGGCTGCCTCCTCTGCTCCCCTGTCTGTGGCTGTTGTCTTTTGTTTGCTTGTTTGTTTTTCTTTTTTGAGGGTTTTTTTGTTTTTTTAGTGGTGATCGTTTTGCATTCTAAATACCATGATGGGATCCCTTATCAGAACTTGGCTTATTTAATAATTTATTTCCTATTTATCAAGTGGTGTTGGGAGGGGAGAGGAGAGGAAAGGAAAGGAGAAGGACTACCCCGCCCCAGAATGGCTCTATGATATCGGCCCACCTCCCAGCTCCGGGTGCGGCCGCCTGCGTGGGAGCGTGATCACCCAGGTAATGAGAGCGAGAATCGCCGAGCAAATTGGAACTGGCAGCAACGCAGGCTTCAGTCATACAAATTAAGCTCCAATGGAACTGAAACACTGGTTAACTCCGGGAAAACCTCATTTAGATGGAAATTAATTGAGGAATAAAATGCCTGCACACGAACCAACTTCTATGAAAAAGTCACACCTCCTTGGGAGAAAAAAGTGAGAGAAAGAAGATTGTAATCCCTCTTCTCTGGCCAAGAAGAGCTGTGCCTCATCTTTTAACGAGATGAGCCTGTGTGTGTGTCTGGATTGAGCGGAGTGGGTCTCGGGTCTCAGTCCTACTGTCTGTAGAATGGGGTGTGGCCCACGTGTTCTTGGCAGCATGGAGGGAGGGGTTCAGAGCTGTCTGAACCCACGCCCCGCAATCTTTCAGGAGTGCTTTCTGGCCCGGACTGTGCCTGAGGACTTCTGTGCTGTATCGTTTCTCTCCCTATTCTCAGCTGTTTCCTCCAGGAGTCGTGAGCCGAGCACCTAACAGAATCTACCACATCAGCCCAGCGGGCTCGGCGAACCCCAAGGCCATTTCTCCACGTCAGGGCGGGAACGCCCATCGGGAAAACCCCAATCCAGGGACCCACCATCAGCCCAGCTCAGTCCGAGCAGCCAGCCTCTGCCCGGGACACCCAGGTCGGAGGGGAGCAGCTCTGACGTCCTCCCGCCTCCTGGGACCCGGCACCCAGCACCCAGCGGCCACACCTGCTAGCTTCCTGGTTCACAGCTAAGCAGAGCCATCCCGGGGCCTGATTTCCAGCCTGAACG